TGTGTGTGTGTGTGTGTGTGTGTGTGTGTGTGTGTGTGTGTGTGTGTTGTATGTTTAGGTGTGATCCTCTACATACTGCTTGTGGGATATCCTCCGTTCTGGGATGAGGACCAGCACAGACTCTATCAGCAGATTAAAGCTGGAGCTTATGATGTGAGTTTTACACTCGTGGGTTCGTGTGTCCTGCTGGCTGACCCAGGATCAGTGTGTGCAGCAGCGAGGCTTTTCTCAGCCGTTTTATTTATTTATTTAGTTTTAGCCTAAGAGTTTCGGGGCTGGCTGCCAGGAGATGTTAAGTCAGTCCAAGAAGAAGCTGACCTAATGCCAACTTTGTCTGTGGCATTTAGTAGTCCTGCAGCTCTGCTGGGCTGTGTAGCTCTGTAGGTTCCCTTCACATGTGATGACTTCACTACACACTCCATGACCTGCTCTACTTAATAAAATACACGCAACAGATTTCGGAAATCTCCAGCAGTGTGAGGGCAGGAAGGATATTGCTGCATTCTTCCTTCTCAACAAAACGTTTGTTTTCCTGCCATGATTTTCTGTTGCTCTTTTGTGCTTCCTACATACTTTGTACTTTAGCAACACGATCCCAATATACTACCATGCACACACAGTCACACCACATCTTGGGCCCCACCTGCACTGAATGGTCTTGGATAGTGTCGGGATGCATGCACGATGCTGCAGCCACAGTTACTGTCTGCATGGGCTTGTTTCTATGACCTTGTCAGAATCTGCAGAATGTTTTAGTATTAATGGGAGGGTATCCGCTGGTCCTCCACTACCAGTTAAAACGTTGTAGCAGAAAAAGCAGCATCAGCAGCATGACATTAAGGAGTTTTTCTGCATAAACTTAATCCAGAATCCAGTGTTTGTTCCTCGTCCAGCATGCCTGATCACCTGGAGAACAAGCGCTTCTTTCCTTGTCCCAGAGGTGAATGAGAGTATTTGACTCGTGCAGGGTGTGTAGTGGTCATTGCAGGAGTTTGGAGAGTGTGGTACAATCCAATTAGTCGTAGTGAGAGCAGTGTCATGACAAGATGAGCGTAGCAGCCACACCACCATGAGTATTGCAGTAACTTACCAGAAGCCCTGTCAGACTAATGGGTGGCATGGTCGTAGCCATGGGGGGAGGCCAGCATGGTCAGTCCTGCTTTGAGTTTTGGACAATCTAGCCAAGTTGGTGCTCTCAGAACTCAAATCATGAACACCACTACCTTTACAGAATTACAGAAGTTTGTGCATGCTCAAAAGTCGCCACAAGCTATTAAACCTAATGGGGAAGCGTACAGCAGTCATAGTACGTCCCTTACACCTTGTAAATACTGTCTATGGCTAATTTCTCTTGTTCTGCCCATGACATCTGATCAACTCGAGATAATTTACTAAAACTTCAGACACACATGCATCATCGCTTGACGGAGTGTCACATTCAGTTTTCATCACCCCAGCTACAAGATCAAGATCACAACTCAAAGTCAAAAAGTGGGCAATTAAGAGGTTTAAAACTTGGTTACTGACAATAGAAGACCTTTGTTTTCTCAGCAGGTGGAGGTGCTAAATCTGTTTGAACATCTGTGTTTGTGTGTCATACGTTTGAAGAGATATTCACTGAATAGATGAGTTTTTGAGTTCATCAGTTCAGAAACAACATAATCCTGTGAGTTTAAATGGCTGTTTATGTACCGTACCTTCTGGTCTATAAGCCGCTACTTTTTTTTGCACACTTTGAACACTGCGACTTCTACAATGCTGTGGCTAATTTATGGATTTTATTTTTATTTTTTTGTGCTAAGAAGATTCATGCCGCCAAAAACATTTAGCCTTGTCACACTCGGGCGCTCACATGGCTGCCCAGTACACATCTCTGTTTGGGGGTGGATCCTCGTGGCTCAGTGAGACTCATTGGTTCATTGAGGGTCACTGTCATATGGCCTCAGAGGGATTATGGGTAACATTTATGTTTATTGTTAATCGTTTTTGTTCTCAGTTTTTCATTGTTCTTTTAGTGATTAGTCTGTTCTTGTTAGTTTGTGTGTTCATTATGTATTAGTTTGTTAGGTCATTCAGTAGAGTAACCATGAGTGAGGGAGGTAGTTGTCATGAAGACCTGTGGGGTTCACTCTCTGTGTGTGTGTGTTGAACAGTAAAATAAAGTCTATAAATCGCCATCTGGTGGTTGAATCTTGATCTACAACAAGAGCTGAACATCTCTCTCAGTAGCTGTGTGCTGCCACTCATGTTAACATGAACACCCACAGATTATATATGTACAAAATTTTATTTTATTTGTTTTTTTACTTTAGTGTGCGCGACTTGTATTCGGGTGCGCTCTATAGACCGGCAATTACAATGAATGTATATACTGTCTCCCTTGTTTTCACAATGTTGTTTTGAAGGTAACAAGTTTCCAAGCATAGTTGGACATGTTGACCATCGATTGGTTTGTTAGGAAGCAAATGCATAGTAAAAGTGAAGTGAGACTGTAACTAGCACCAGTGCTGTCACTCCAACAGTTCCCTTCTCCTGAGTGGGACACTGTGACCCCAGAAGCCAAAGACCTGATCAACAAGATGCTCACCATCAACCCTTCTAAGAGAGTCACTGCCACAGATGCCCTCAAACACCCCTGGATCTGTGTAGGTGTCACACAAAGCCATTGTCTGCGTCTTCAATGTCACCAAATATAATCGAGACTACTTTTATTTTCTGTTTTTACAGCAACGTTCCACTGTGGCCTCGATGATGCACAGACAGGAGACTGTGGAGTGCCTCAAGAAATTCAACGCCAGAAGGAAACTCAAGGTAAAAAAAATTTAAAAAATATATTCCGTTACTTCTGAGGAATCCTATATAAACAAGAGGACACTAAATGGGATCAGTTTTTTTCTGAAACTATCCAGAAATCAATCAAACCTTCTCCCAGATAACTGAATATCTGTTTCAACATTGTAACTGTGTAACTTGTTTCTCTCCTCAGGGAGCTATTCTGACGACTATGCTCGCTACTCGCAACTTTTCAGGTAAGGCTGAAACAGATGTCGCACATAACAAGACCAAATGGTTACAGGTCTTCAGCTTGTTTGGTCCCCCTTCGCAGAGCGAAGAGAAATTGGACAATACACCCTCTCTGTCTGTCCGTGCATGTTGCGAGCATGGACATTAAAAAAGGTCCAACTTCCGTTTTGGTGTGTGACTTCGTCTATGTGGACAAAAGATCACTATTCAAAATTGTGTTGCTGTGTCAAAATCCAAAATGGCCACCACCGTGCGTGCGTGTGTGTACCAACCAACCAGCCCAGTCATTTGAGGAAATTATCCTTTGTTTTGTTTAAAATAATAATTTTCTCAAATGATTGGGATGGCCAAAGATTAACCTATGAGGGCCAAGGCCACCATGGCCACACCCTGGCTCCACCACTGCATGCTGTGGATGTTCCTGCTTGCTCTCGACGAAGATGGATGCATTTCCCTCCTGCTCCTGCCTCCCTCCTGCTTTGCTCTTTATTTCTTGTGATTCCTATCAGAGCCCCTCACTACATATCCTCCAAATTGTAAATCATGGATCTGCTCAGCTGGTCTCTCCTCGTCGAGAAAATGTTATCAATTGCGCTGAGACATGGCGAAGGAGAGCCCTCATGCCCTGAAGGGACACTCGCAGCTGGATATACTATGAATTCCTCGGGGCAGTGGAAGATGGTGTCTGTCTGTATTGTCCGTTGAGGATGTAGAAGACGCGTACATAATTGGATTTGTGATAACCAGTTGCTGTTGGTGTATCTGGCATATCAACAAATTTGGACGATGGTAGCAGCGGTTCTTGCGATTGTTAGTCTGCCTGCATTGTATGAAGGAATGTAGTGAGAGGTAAGCTCGCAGACTCAGACGCCGCGTGAGCTGAGTCGTAAGCTGGACATGGTTTCTAAGAATCGCAGGCCACTTGCAACTCCTGGAACTCACTGGAAAGAAGGAATTGACCTTGGAGAAGGCTACAAGCTCCGGTGGTGTGACCACAAAATTTGACTGTATGGAATCACCAGTGAGTCGTACCAGCAGAACTATGAAGGCAGACATGGAAATTCAAGCAAAGGCTGCCTGACCCAAAATAATTATCTGAATATGACTTGTCCACTCAGCCTTGAATTGGCCAGCTGTCTCAACTTCTCTAGGTTGTTTATGTGAACGAGAAGCTCACCCCCATCGCTTCCCTCCCAAGGACATCTGTGGATCTGTGTCAGAGTTGAGCCGGCTGATAGACACTGTGCCATCTTTATCGGGACTATGGAACTTTAGGACAGTCTCCATGGACAACTCACTGCCCTCGTCGGCCTCCTCATGTATAAATGTATTATGATGTCATCAGTATATTGCTTTTTCATGTGCTGAGGTCATTTTTTTGCAACTTTCACACTGTGTCCCATGATGTCTAAGACACAGTGCAGGATTTGATTTTGATTTTTTTATGTTTTACACCTCCAATCCCCCTTGTTTCTTTTTCCTTCTCTGGAAAAAATAAAGTGCTGCGCCTCTCAAGGCCGGTGGCCTCAGTCACCTCCGTCTCCCCATGTCTGTTTGTTTCTCTCGGACTGTGCAATGACAATAAAGCTGATCCTGATAAAATGTCTCTCTCCACTCTCCAGGATCTGTTAGGGTGCATTCACACTAGCCCTGTTTAGTTTGCTTTAATCGAACTCTAGCTCGTTTTCCTAGAAAGTCCGGTTCGTTTAGGGAGGTGTGAACGCGCCATCGAACTCTGTCACGGAACAAAAAGGCGAACTCTGGCCCGGGCTAAAACCTAGGTCTCGGTCCGGTAGAAGCGAACTCCAGCATGGCTCGAGTGTAGTGTGAATGTAAACAGACCAAGCCCCGCTCCGCAGGGTAAACAAACACGCATTTCTCTGACCTTATATGGAGCCGTCAGCTGCCTTGTGTGAAAAACAATATTCTCCATGGTCTTCTGTCTCATCTTCTGCTCATGCTAAGTCCATTTTTGAAAAATGACAAAATATAACTCCTAAAACTGCTAAAACTTAATGACACTTCGTTTTTATTTTTATTTACAGAAGAAGAAGACGTGTCTTCAGAGGTTTTGTGTAGTTTCTTTCAGTAGTTCTTGGTGCAGCACCCCCACAGGCGAGCGGGGGAATAGGTTGGTTCAACAGGTTGACTCGACTGCACAGTGCAGTGTGAATGCAAACGCACCAGCTCAAATGTAAACAAAAGCTCATGAATATTGGTCCCGAACCGAACCGAGTCTACCAGACTATCTAGTGTCAAAATGACCTTACTCTGCGTTGCCTTGGACAAGCAAAAAGCTCCTCCCCACTTGAATATCTTGTACCAAAAACATTTAGGGTTACTTAAATTCTGCTCAATTCCAGTCAGGAAAAAACACTCAAAACCACAGCTACAAACGTTCACTATTCAAAGCCCTCAGTGACGGGGGACATTGGTGTACTACTTGTTAAATCTTGAATTGTCTTTCCACTTGTTGTCACCACCAACATTTTAACCAATGACCCCTGCCTTCACCAAACGTTTGAATATTGTTGACTTGCTGCTCTTCAGAGTGCAGCGGTGTTGGACTTTAGAGACCGTTGAGCTTCATCAGTCCACTCTATTCACACGAGAGACTGAAGGACCAAACCGATCAATGAAGTCTCCACTGCCTGTCCTATTCCCTGGCCATTCCGTTCAAACAGTGTTGAGTGATTTTTGTTGTAATCTCTACTTTGTAGTCGTCATTGCTGCATCACTATCAGTACAATGTCCTTACCTTTTGTCTTTCTTCCCTCCTCTTGTCTGGTAACTCATGTGTAAGGTAAGTGTTTATCTCCAGTCTGGTTCTGATGCATGTCTGTCAAAGCACCATTTTCAAGCTTTAGAGTGGCATAGTTATTCTGTTGGTGGCCGTATTAGAGGAAAAGTCTTTAAATTTAAGCCTTAAGCAAGACTTGCATGTGTATTATAAAATCCAGAATCTTAATTCGTCACATATGCAGGCGTTTAATCCCTCTGGGTTTAACAATATCTGTACTGAACTCACAGTACCAGGCGTGATTCTAGGATCTGACCTTTAGTTACTGACCTCTACTTAACTGCAATGACAATAAAGCTGATTCTGATTTAGGGGTGCTTTGGCTTGAACAGCACACCCCCTGGTGTTGTTTGTGTGAAGTGTAAAAGCTCTAAACTAGCTAGTATTCCCAGGAGATCTCCCATCCTACCAGGCCCGATCCTGTTTAGCTGCTGAGATCAGACTAGGTCAGGTGTGTTCAGGGTGGTATGGCTGTAAACAAGGAGCTGAGTCACAGACAGGACTTTTAAAGGATCATAGCAAACAGAGACTAAACTTGTGCAACCAGAAGTTACAACATATATCTACATACAAAACAAACACAACTAGCTTTAACCTTTAATTTAACTATCAACCACGGACTGCATAGTGTTCGTAAATCAAAACCCTGAGAATGTTGTCGGGAGGAAAAGGGTGTGCAGCTCCTGCAGGTAGGTGGTGTTTACCTTTTGGGACAACTTGAGATCACCGATTGGTCAGTTGCTGATGAGCCTACAGGATTGATTGACAGCTGGCATTAAAGATCCGAAATATACGATGCAGTTAAAGAGGATATGGAGGGAGTTGGAGTGAGGATGACTCGCTGGGAAGACTCCTGAAGAGGAACAAGCCCAAAGAAGACTGTCCAGTAATCAGCATCACAGCTGTCTTCAGTCTGTTAGTCTGCCTGTTTAAAGGGTGACAGCAGGTAGTCACAGGGCTGTTTGGTATCATGGTGTGTAACACACTGAATATGGACCACAGGAAGCTGAGGACAGAGTCTAAAGAGCTTAGAAAGACAATTATTGAGCAGCATGTTAAAGATCAAGACTATAAGACCACCAGCCCAAAACACCCAGGGATGGATCAGAACCAAAGAGGACTGTTCTGGTGTCCTGCTGAGTCCTGATCTAAATCCTGTTGAACATCTATGGTAGAACCTGAAACATCTGGAGGAGGAACCCTTCAGAACTAATCTAAAAAAGTTAAATCTGGTCCTCTGCACATTAAAAAAAAAAAAAGAAAAAAAATTGTAGAAACGTTGCGTCTTTCATCCGAAACTTTCGGATGAAAGACGAAACGTTTCTACAATTTTTTTTCTTTTTCTTTTTTTTTGAATGTCCAGAGAACCAGATTTAATTTATTTAAATTTTTCTACCTGGATTATTGAGCAACATCAGGATACCTTCAGAACTAAGTCAGCTGGAGCAGTGTGTTCATAAGGAGTAGACCAAAACACCTGTGTACCAAGGTCAAGGTCACAGATCAAGATCAAATGTGATCCAAGGTCTTTGCTTGTTTGTGGCGCTGCTATAGATTGCTGTATAATAGTTTGTTGACAGTGGTATTATGTGCCATATGCAGTCCTCTTGTTTAATTCTGTTGAACAAAATTCAAAAGCAAGGACCATTTTATTGATTTTCACTAAATTATTATTTTAGATTTTTAGTTCTTAGTTGATCAGTGACGTTTGTGGGACTTTCTATACAATGTAAAAACCAGTTGGTATGAATGTGTAGGTCTCAGGTGGCTGCAGTCAGAGGTTAGTCTGCTTGTTGCACCATTTCCTTTAGAAACAAACAAATGTTCCAGTAATATGGCTGCCAAAGGTTACCTGATGCCACAGCTAAGCTTCCATTGTGTATAAACCTGCACAGTCCCTCCTCTTTTGTAAAGGATGCTCTTAACACCCCTCTCTACTACTTCTAACCATCTGCTCCACATCTGTCTGTCTCTGCATGCTGCCCAAAGAGGAGGAGGTCATTCAGAAAAATCAGAGTCAGAGTCAGAGTTTCTTTATTGTCATTCGCACCTCATGTGGTACATGTGGTGGAGCGAAATTATGTACACGGGGTCCCAGTTACATCCAACAATAAAATGTATAAGAAAAACAGTAATAACATCTAAGATATGAACTAAGAAAAACATCAACTAAATATACACTAAGCACTCATAACATAAAACATTGAACATCAGCACAAACATGAACATGAGTCTGTGAGCAGATGTGCACGCATGAACACATCAACATTGAAACAGATCAGCAGCAACATGAAACAGATCAGCAGCAACATGATATGTTTTTTCATAGTGATTATTCTAGTTAGAGATTCATGAGTCGAACAGCCTCAGGGTAGAAGCTGTTCCTCAGTCTAGTGGTTCTACACTTAATGCTCCTTAACCTCCTTCCTGAGGGGAGTGGGGCAAAAAGTGTGTGTGCTGGGTGAGTGGGGTCCTTCATGATGCAGGTGGCCCTCTTCCTGCATCTGGAGGTGTAGATGTCTGTGATGGTGGGGAGACTGATTCCAACAGATTTCTGTGCAGCCTTCACCACTCTCTGCAAAGCTTTTCTTTCTGCAGCTGTGCAGCCTCCATGCCACACGTTGATGCTGGAGCACAGGATGCTATCCACCGCACACCTGTAGAAGGAGGTGAGGACTGAGCTTCCCAGACCAGCTCGCCTCAGCCGTCTGAGGAAGTAGAGTCTCTGATGAGCTTTCTTGATCAGGCTGGTGGTGTTGTTGCTCCAGCTGAGGTTGTCATTCATGTGTACACCCAAGTACTTGTAGCTGGAGACCACTTCCACCGCAGATCCTCTTATGTTCAGGGGGGTGTAGGTGTTTTTGTTCCTTCTGAAGTCCACAATCATCTCCTTTGTCTTCACATTGATGTGAAGGTTATTCTCTCTGCACCAGCTCTCCAGGTGTTCCACCTCCTGCCTGTAGCTGGACTCATCATTGTTTGTGATGCATCCCACCACCGCTGTATCATCTGCAAACTTTACAATGTGACAGCCTGGATGGGTAGCTGCACAATCATATGTGAGCAGAGTAAACAGAAGGGGGCTCAACACACATCCCTGAGGAGAGCCAGTGCTGAGGGTTATGGTGGAGGAGGAGAGGTTGTGGATCCTCACTAACTGTGGTCTGTTTGTTAAAAAGTCTAGTACCCAGTTGCAGATGGAGGGGCTTAGTCCTAGTGTGGATAGTTTGTCCATCAGGGTTTGGGGGATCATGGAGTTGAAGGCGGATGTGAAGTCCACAAAGAGCAAATAAAACTGATTCCGGCTTCACTCCTTTTTCCATCGAGGGTTATTTTTACCTTTTGTTTGAGGTGTAACGTAAATCAAAGCAGGGCGAGGAAATGAGCTGTTGTCAGACACTGCTGCTGTGTTCTCCAGTTTCTTCAGATGAACCCTTGCATGCTCCACACTTCTCTAAATTTGACTTGAACTCCTCACTTGGTTTGCATTTCATTCCTCTCAGACCTGCTCTGAGGCAGCCAGTCTCTGCTCAGCTTTGGGTGTACCTGTGTGTTTGTGTTAATCCCAGCTGGTCACTCATTTCCCTGCATTGTTATTTTTGTTTCTACAGCAGCCAAGAGCCTGCTGAACAAAAAACCAGATGGTGTCAAAGTAAGTACACCTTCTGTTTCTATTTTTTACACAAACCTTCTTTCTTGCCGGATGTTTTTCATTAGTTAAAGTGCGTTTTTGGAACTGCGTCTCACCCACTGTGGTGTTGTGTGAACGCTCCTGAGTCAGATGGATGCTGGGCTTTATGCTAAATGTGTCTCAGTGTTTGAAAGATAGTTCCCAATAAAGATCCACCTCCACAGTGTCTGTGTGTCGGAAAGGACAAGCTTTCTGGGCCCAGAACACTGTTCAGTCGTCAATTATTGTAAAGAGTTTCAGGTGGGGGCTTGTCTGCTTCATGTCTGTTTGCATTCATCACAAGATGCCATGAAGGTGTGAGTGTGTGTGTTTGTGTGTGTTCTTGTAAACAAAATTTTGGGGGATTTGCATTGACTTCCATTCGTTTTCTATACCCTAAAGCTAACCATAACTTGTACATACCTAACCCATCCGCAGTTCACACCTTAAGGCTCACTCAGACTCGGGCGGACCTCAGTCCGCACGGAAACTGTGCACTCTGTCCGCAGACGGTTGAGACTTCATACTCGAGCATCCACCCTGAGCAGCTGCGGCCCAACTCCACAGGCAAGGAGCATTCACCTTAGGAACAAATTGAGTTTGCCGATTGGTCATTTGCTGACACGCCTACTGGATTAATTGACAGGTCACCCAAAAAAAAAAAAAAAGAGCTGGAAGCTCTAGCCGCAGCGGTGTTCTGTGTTTATATGTTGTTAATAAAAAGTTTAAAAAAAAAAAAAAACAGGGAGCGCTGGCCCTGCAGCCCACACATCAGACCGGCCCACCAGGAAATCTCCAGACCCTCCCGCAGCCATGCTGGACCCGAGTTTAATTCTCTCATGACAAATTCCTTCATTTTTCACAATTTCAGTCATGGCGTCAACAGACGAGGAGGAAGAGATCACTTGCCTCTCGGGGGGGAAAATAAACAAAAGAAAAGGCCATTAAACCAGACCACACATGAAGAAGGGCAATTTAATACATTGGTGTCACATACAAAACAGTTTGTCGCCTGGCCGTTTATTGTACGACACTGAGTTTGCGTACACAGTCGTAAAAATATCTTTGCACGGACACGCCCTGTGGGTGTCCGCTTCGACTCAAATCCGGTGCACGCGAGTCTGTGGGGGCCTTTAGTCCTAAACCTAACCCCAACAAGACTTCTCCTTATAGGGACCTGGCTTTGGTCCCCATACTGAGCAGTTGGTTCCCACAATGCATTATTCTTTGTAAAATTGGTCCCTACAAGGTAACCTGAAACAAAAACGCACACACACACACACGTGCGTTTGTGTGTATGTGTGCGTGTGTGTGTGTGTGTGTGTGTGTGTGTGTGTGTGTGTGTGTGTGTG